CTGAGGATACTAGGTCAGAAATACGGAGACAACATAAAGGTCTTGAATTTTTTTTTTTTTTTTAAAGAAGTGGGGATAAACATTTTCAGGCCTGCTCTCTGTTGCCTTGCTTGTGAATTAGGAGGAGCCATGCTCTTTTCCTCCATGTTCCTGACTGGAGATGTGGCACCCTCGGTAGTTTGAATGAGAGCCTGTAACCTCACATTGGCTGGCCAGGACTCACCTCCTGTCTTCTAAGATGAGAGAGATAGCCCATATCTTCATGCTGTTTGGAAGCAAAAGAGTCTGCTAAGACTTAGAAACACTTAGAAGACGACTTAGAAACATTTTCTTCTACTGTCTCTTTTCTCTGTCGGCTAATCATTGAGCCAACATGAAGTTGTTGTTCCTGTAACCGGTGGTAAGATTTGAACCCTGGGTAGGACTGTAATTACAGTTATATCTTTGATCAGAAAGGAGAAGAATTCATAAAACGTGGGAGAGAGCATGGCCTTTGTCGTCACATCCTGCTATGAAGAATGGTCCTTTTAGTGAATTAACTGACTAAATGATGATTGAATGCATTTGACACATTATACCTAATTATACTTTTGGGTCTTTTGGACTAGGGTTCCCAAAGAAATCACAGTGAGTAATATTCACCAGGCCATTTGCAACATTCCTTTTCTGGATTTTCTTACAAACAAACACATGGGAAGACTGAACGAGGATCAGTGAATACAGTGAAGGTGGTCCCCGAAAAGCAGGATGGGGAGCTGTGTCTGAAGTATGAAGACTGTGGTGACGCTTGTGTTTGGGGAAAGGTGGTTTTCTGTGCGGTAGAAGGCCATGGCTACCATACCATTCCTTCTGTGTAACTGCGTGTATCACAAGGGCATTGAGTCCCGGGTGCAGCCCTTTCAAGACTGAGTTGTTTCCCAATTCTGGAGGGAAACTGAATGGACACAGCTTTGTCAGCTTGTATTTCTTAGTGTGAGACAAGGTGCTCCCTCTTTGGTGTGTGCTTGGGTTCACATGGGGCCCGCTTCCCAGAAGGCGGAGATAAATCTGACGCTGGCCTAGGGTACTGTAATGAAGAACAGCAAGGATGTACCTTCTCCTACCTTGGCTGCACTCCTGGCCAGTGTGAGTCAGCTACAGAAGGGGTAATATGCCATGTGGAAAGTCAGAGACCAAGGCGGCTTCAGACTGAGATTTTCTCATGGAACCCCAATGCCAGTGCTTCTGTGACAGCCAGTGTCAAAGCACTGTTGAGAATCCCAGCAGAGATCAGAAGGCATCAAGCCTGTGCTCATGAAACCCAGGAAACTATCACTGTTGGTGTAAGCATCATCTACAGAGTCCGGCACTTGGCCTGTGGTAATATGAGCACTGGGTCCTCATATCCATGATGGCTGCAGAAGCTTTTCCTGCTGCCTCATGTCTAGGGGCTAGGGAGGCAGCCTCAGGGCAAACCTTCCTGGGATTGTCCCCTTGGTGGACCTAGGGTCCTGTCCTTCTCTGCCAAAGAGTTATCCAGATGAAAAGGGTTCAAACACCTGTGAGTGCCTTACCGTGGGCAAGAACTGCTCTAACCCAGTGTGCCAGTACTAGAGTCGCTCTGTGAGGGACAGATTGGAGGCTGGTATATCAGCACAGTCTGCAGACCCTAGGGCCTCTCCAGTCCTATTCACTCTTGTGGGGGCAAAGGAAAGACCTTAGTTCCAGTTGGAAACATTCTCTTACTCTGCTCAAAGCAAACTTGAAAGGTCTGAGTCAAAGTCAAAGACACTTAGGTAAGCAACAGAAAATCTGTTCTCCCAGGTCCCGTAGATTGGTGTGTGAGTCAGGAAACAGCGGGAAGGTAGCTGGATAAAATATGACTGAGAGCTACAGGTACAGAAGGGATCTTTCCAGCAGGAATAGGACAAGCATGGCTTAACAGAATAGTTGGTATATAAGCCTTAAGAATTTGGTCTGGAGACCACCCAGCAGATTAATAGGCCCACACACAGATTTCTTTAGAAGTGGATGGAGACCTACGTGGTAGGTTATTCAGATGAGAGCAGATTCATTTGTTGTGATGAAAACCTAAAGAATTTGCTTTTTGCTAAAGAAATATCAAATGATTTAAGAGTCTCTGTGTATGTTAATGTTTCAAGTGTTTTTCTATTATAATATGTAACATAATTGTGTATCATTTTGTCTACAATAAAACTTTTAGTATTTGTGATGTTTTCTGAGCTGGAAGCGCAATACTTGGAGGGCTCATTGGGATGTGGCCATGGTATGGATCTTTGTGAATTTAAACTACTATCTCCTTCCTTCAAAAAAGTTCTGCAACCATGTAATATAAAAGGATCACAGATACATTTAGGTCACATACAAAACAGAAGACACTTTGCTTGGTGACCATGGACATAATTATTTCATACAAGCAATTTAAGGAAGATTCATAAATGGGTTCAATTTCACACACACACACAAAAAAAAAAACAGCAGAGACAGTCAAATAAATAAACTGGTTTATCTGCTGAGTTAAAGTTGGTCTGTGCTGAGGCCTGAAAGCCACTCCTGTGATAGTCCTTTTGTTGTCATCTGGTATTGTGGCTTTTAAAGAATTGCGGAAAGGTGAAGACACTACAAAACTAAAGGCTCTGGTCTGTGGCTTTTGAAGAGAATTTCTACAAGGAGGCTTAGGAATACAGTCCACAGAGGTAGCCTGCTGGGAAGCAACTTCACAGAGAGCCAGTGAAAACGCAGAACCCCAGAGACTAAGGTTAGCTGGGGCATAGGTCAGGGTGGGTGCTGACAGCCCTTCCCTGGGTCTCAGGTGAGTGGCATATTCCATCCAACAGAAGCCTGGAATCTTGGAGTTCTGTCCCGTACAGCATAGTGAGGGAAGACTTCAGCATGTGAAGGAACTCTGAGGACTTTGGGTTTAGTCGGCCTCATAATGTCCAGACAGCTGATTGGGGCAGCTTTCAAATTGGTCACTGTGGTTATGGGATAATTAATATTGAACACTCTTTGCTTAAATTAACAGATTAAACTGCTCTTTATTTTTCAAAAACTTACAGGATATAAAAATCATTAAATTTTATAGTAATTTTAGGTATGATAAAGTATTTTTAAAAATTAGGACTGGAGAGGTGGCTCAGTTGATGAAGTGTGTGCAGTACCTGAGTTCAATCACTAGAACCCACATAGAAAAGGAGGCATGGTGGTGCACACTTAGAATCTCAATGCTAGAGAGACAGAGAGGCAGATCCCTTGAGGCCTGCTATAGACCCAGCCTAGCTTATTTGGTGACCTCGAGACTAATGAGAAAAGGGAAAGATACCTGAAAAACACTTTGGGTGTCCTGTTCTCTACATGTGTACCCTGCACATAGAGGAACACACATGCATCCATACATTCTGGAATATATATGTACCTGCATATACAGGAACACATACATACCTGCACAGAGTGAAACACACACATATGTATCCACACATACTGGAACACACTTGTCAGAGATGATCCCTGCTGATCCTCCAGTGCATCTCGCTGGTCTTTGTGCACATTGTGTGTATGAGATGGACTCGGGACTAAGAGAACATGACTGATACTGGTCTTAGTTGCTTCTTGGGTTGCCCATGGAGCTTTGTGTTTTAATTCCCATCTGGAATGAGGAGGGCTGGTGGGCAGAGCTATGTGGCACATTGCTGAGGTTCTAAACAACCTGTGACCTAGCAGAGGTCAGCCTCACTCCATTGCCACTGCAGTGCTACAGTGTCAGGAAGGGACAAGTGTGTTTTGTGCTTGCCAAATGCAGCAGGGCTGTGCATTTCACACCAAGAGAATGAATGCATGGAGTGGGGGCCGGGGGGGGGGGGCGGTTGCTGGGCGTGGCGTATGGTCACTGGTAGAGTACAGCCAGAGGCTCTTAGTTGGGACCAAGAAGCACCTGGAAGAGAGTTAAGCAGGAAAGGACAATTCAGGACCTATGCTTGGCTGACTTGACTGTGCTAAGAATTGGATATTTCTAGCAAGCCAGGCAAGGTGTAGGCAGTAGCAACCTCACTTTCAGATGCAGAAATGGAAGCTCCCGTTGTCCCAGCTAGTGCGGAAGCAGCAGTGGCACAGATGGTCCCTTTTCCCACTTAAGGGTGCAAGAGCTGAAGTGGGATGAAGGTTTGTGCAACACGGGTCAGCTACAGCCTCAGAAGAAGGGCTTGGAGTTTCTAATTGTCAGGGATATTAGCATAGTCACACTACATTAAAGTCATTATTGAGAGACCAGATGATTGGGGAAAATATACTTGAGTTTATAACTTAAGCCCAGCACATTTTTGCATTTTAGTAAACTGTTAATCTGCTCAGTGCCTACATTTAGCTACCCAGCAGGCAGTCTCTTCCCTCTCGGGTACACTGAGCCTGCAAACTGACAAATCGAGAGTAATGGGACCTTTGGTATATGCGTATGGTTTCAATTTTCCCTTCAGAATGACTCAGCATTTCCTGGGCTGGCAAGAGGGAGGCAGGGGATGCTGTGTGGGAGGCCTGAGCTGCCGCCCCTGCCTTGGCTTTGAAGGGAACCCTTACAGTTCTTACCAAACACTGCCAAGCCTTTGAGACATCGTCTTTTTCTAGTGTTCGAGAGATGGTTGTGCAAAGGCGACTGGGCTTGTTCCACACAGCCATTCTGACTGAAACCTATGAAGACGAATTTTCCAAAGGCAGAAGGAGTTCCCCACAATGGGGTAGTGAGTACCTAACCAGAGTTGAGGAGTCAGCAGGGGAGGGTCAAGGTGCCTGTAGGGGATGCTCTCCAGACATGCTCCCAGCTCCTCACAGATGTGCATGGTAGTCCCTTCTAGTCCTTGAGTTGAGGGGAGACAGATGAAATTAGTAGGACAGGGCTCAGCCTCTAGAAATACAGGGCGAATGCCATTCATGCTTTCCACATTTCACTCATCCTGGAAACATGATCATCTTGGCTATAAAAAATTACATCTGAAAAGTGAAAACATGTAGATGATCTCCCTGGATGTATTTCACCACTGTGTGTATTCCATATATATACAGATATATTTCCATCTCTGTGTGTAATATGTATATATGAAATTTCTGCCTGGATATATATTACCACCATGAGACTCATGTGCAGGTGGTCATATGTATTTTTTAAGAACTTAAGATATTGTTGTTCTTTTGAAACGCAGCCCCTCCCGGAACTTGCTATGTAGACCAGGCTGGCATTGAGCTCATAGAGATCCTCTTACCTCTGCCTCTAGAGTGCTGGGATTAAAGGCGTCACTCCTGATAACCTAAGGTTGATTTTTTTTTTTTTTACCCCATGTGTGTGTATGTGTTTTGAGACAAGTTTTCTCTGTGTAGCCCTGACTGTCCTGGGATTCACTCTGTAGACCAGGCTGGCCTCAAGATCACAGAGCTCTCCCTACCTCTGTTTCCACTGGGATTAAAGATATGTGCCACCGTTGCCTGGCTAAGATTTCTTAATGTAAGCATGTGGGGCATTGTAGAAAGAGATGAGAAAACTGCCTGGGACTACCATAGGCTATCAAATAAGTTAACATGCATCTTGGGAAAACCACCCAAAGTTGGTAACTGGTCTACCAAGGACTTGATATATGCATACTTTTCAGTCTGGAGCAGTTCAGGTCACAGCCGAATTGAACCTCATATTTAAAAATTGAAAGGTGCCAAATGGCAATTTAAAAGATCAAGTTTTCCCCACACACACTGCTTGAGGAGGAGGGGAAGAGGCCGCGTGCAGCTGGTGGTGTTCTGCCGGTGTGCCTTCTGCCTCCACTCCACACCACAGGCAGAGTCGGCAGCCATGCTGCTCCGGTCAGCCAAGGATCAAGCCAGTCCCCCTTCTGGAGGTCTGGAAGTCCGCAGCTTTCCCAGCAGCCACGGTTTCCACTGGTTTCCACTGGTCACACATTGAGAGTCCGGGGAGCCGATGTCTGAAAGATGGCTGAGGGGTTGGGTGTGAATTTTCTCACTTCTGGAACCTAAAAAAAGCGTGACCACATCAGTGGACTCTTAACTCCACTTGCCCCAACCCCTGGCTCTGAGAAAAGAATTCCTTGGCCCTTGCAAGAGCTGGCAATGGAAGTTAGCAAAGTGAGCTGTCACTACTATGGTGGGTCACATGAGCTCCCTTTGACCTTTAGCTGAAGAGAAGATGCTAACTGTTCCTGCAGTCACAGCAAGGGACCCCAAGCCTCACACGTGGCATGGTCTTCTGTACCACAGAGCTATGCCTAAGACACTTAGGTTTTAGTATTTTTTGCAGGGAGCAGGGCTGTGCTAAGGCTGGAACGCAGGGCTTTGTGGGTGCTAAGCACGCAGTCTACCACTGAGCTACAATCCCACCCTTGAAAGTCTCTAGCTCTATTCGTCAGGGGACATGCTGGGGTTTAGGAGAGGGTAGAGTGGTCCTGGGAATTGAACTCAGGAATTGAACTCTGGCACTCTCTGGTGAGTGCCAGAGAAGCCACCTAGCCAGCAGCTGAGTAGCCTTTCTGTTGCTAGGAACAGTTGTTTGGGCACTGTTGTCCTTAACCACCATGCCATTTGATGCTACCAGAATCTGTCTTCTGACCCCTGTCCTGGTGACCAGCCCCAGAAGTGCCACCCTCAGGCTGACCTGGAACTTGGCCCCAGGATTGGGGTCCCATCCACAGCTGTGCGTTGTGATGACTCTGGCCGATCTGGCCTTTGTGGATCTTGAGGGCTTCACTCCAGTCCAAGCTTGGAATTCCTGCCTGCAACAGACAATTCCTACAATAACCTTGCGCAGGGTCAGTCGTTCCTCGCGCCCCCAGCTTCTTGAAAGACCAAGCCCTGTTCATTCCTGGGCCTGCTTCAGTTCCTAACGATCCTTTATCCTCCTACACAAGCAGGACCAGAATACCAGGTGCTCCAGGCAGATGGACCAACTCAGTAAGGTAGCTCGGGGCTAGCCTGCCCTACCATTCTGAGTGTTCCACCAAGAAACCTCAGCCATGTGGGCTGGGGAAAGCAGCGCAGAAAATTGTCATGCAGGTGAACATCAGGCAGTATTTGACACACACACACACACACCCCTTAGAGACAGACAAGCCCTAGTTCTCAAAGCCCTCCTGAGACCTGAGCCTATCCTGGATGCCAGGCCACTGAGGGGGCCCAGAACCAGTAAAGGCTATCACCTCCTTCATGCCCACTTAGGTGCAAAAGAAATGCCATCTTAGACAGTGCCCAGCACAGTAAAGGTACATCCGCTTCCAAATTGGAGGAAAAGGCTCAATCATATCTGACCACCTGAGTTCAATTCCCAGGACCCACATGGTGGAAGTAAAGAACTGTCTCCCACAGGTCTTCTGATTTCCACGTATCAACAAACGTGTTGTAAAAAATGAAGGTAAATCATGGGGCTGGATGAATGACTTAGTTATACATGCTCCTCTGGCAAAGGATGGTAGGTCAGTGCCCAGCACCCACATCGGGAGTCTCACAACCACCAGGCACTCAAGCTCCAGGGGACCTATCGCACCTCTTCTGGTCTGTAGTGTGAGCTTCCATGAGCCATTTCCCTGGAGGGAAAGGACAGGCTAATCTAGCTCCATGCCTCTCACTGAAAAGGCTCAATTTCTCTAGCCCTGGAGTCATCCAGACCTCTTAATTTTGTCATTGTCTCTACTAAATGATAAACTCAGGAAGGCAGTCTCCCCTCGCCCCCCCCCCACCGCATCCCCTAACCATAGTCATAGGGCTCACCCAGCCAGGGCCAGTGCCTGGCTGTGCTAGGTCCTCCCCCTACGCTGGCCCAGCTATTGCTCTGAAGTCAACAAAGGAGTCTTTTCTTGGCAGCATCAGAACCTCGCCTCGCTGGGCAGGCAGATGGCATGGGCAAGGGAAGCTGGTGTCGGTGTGGCCAACCCTGAAGAGTCTTGGGTATGAGGAAGAGCTGAGCCAGGGCCTGTCAGATAATTTTTGCTTCTGAAGCATCAAGGTTCCAAAGACCAGCTGTCTAAGAACATATGCTGTTCTCTTTCTCCTGGGAAGGCAGGACCTCCCCCTGAGCATGCCCTAATGCCCCCAACTATTTCTGAGTTCTGTGCCAGGCAGCCTAAGTCAGCTGCCCTGGGGTGGCAGCAGGGGGCTCAAAGCAGGGAGACCTAGAGCAGTCCTGGGGGTGGTGGCAGGAGGTGTTTCCACAGAATGCTTGTGACGTAATAGAGCAGAGACAGGAGTGGACTCATCAGAACCCAGCTACTCATGGAGGAGAAAGGTGCACTATGGCTTACACCAAAATTAAGAAAGAAAAAAAAAATACAAACTGCACGATGTTCCTTAAAAGCATCGGCCACATTTTTGTTGTTTCTTTTTTAAAACAAAGCTTCAATACGGAGCAGTGGCTGGCCTAGAACTTGCTATGCAGCCAGAGCTGGCCTTGACGTCACAGAGATCCACCTGCCTCTGCCTCCCAAGTCCTGGGTTTAAAAGCATAAGCCACCACACGCAGGTCTTTCCCCCTCCCCACATCTTTCATGGACCTGACCAACCTAGAAGAAACTATGGAAGCAAGGTCCAAACTCTGGGAGGAACTAGCAAGGTTGAGAGCCCCAAGCTGCCTGTATAGGACTTCTATTCCCATCTAGCCAGACAAATAAGGCAGATCAGTCCTTCCAGGGAGACCAACAGCCAAGTGAAACAGGACCTGTCAGCAGGGAGAGATGGAGGCCTAAGAGGATCCATGGCATTTATGGTCAGGAGTGACCACAGATCTGTTCTGATATCTTTAGGATCCCTGGATGTGTTTTCTGAGTGCCTGTAGCAATTTGCTTGAATGAAATACATCTTACAAGATGGAATATAGGATGCGATTACTCCAGCCTGGCCTTGGAGACTACCTTTGGCAGTCCCAGAAGCCAGATGACTTGGTGCTGGGGAAAGCCTGCTCCTGGGCTTTGTAAGGAGTAAGGACTGGTAGCCAGGTTCTTGCTATTCCACGACTCTAGGGGAAGAAAGAGTTCCAAAGACAGAATTTACACTTGGTAAGGCCAGCTCCCATCTGTCAGTGCTTTTCCACTGCTGGCTTTGAGAAACTGGCTCCAAGGAGGTGGCCCAAGACCAGCTGTCTAAACCATGTTAAAGAACGAGAGCCTGAGGGGACTAACAAAATTGGTGCCTGAGTCCCACGCCTTTCCATGCCGTTCAGAGTCACGTCGTCCCGCATCCCAGCTCAATTCCTCATTTGTGGAGGGACAGCAGTAACAGAGGCCTCAGAGAGTGGAGCCATGTATGCGGAGAGGAGAGCAATGGCTAGCACCTTGCCCTCAACAGAGCTGAGAGGCCTGGTTAGCCAGCTTCTCCTAACCACCCTTTCCTGGAATATTCCTCACGAAGAAGGGCTTACACCAGTATTTCCAAGCTTCTCAGTGGTATTAAAGGATGGTTTCCTTTCTTCCTCTGCAAGCCCCACCAATTGTTTGACCACTAGAATTGCAAGGTGCTGCACACTCAGGACCACTGGAAGAACCACGAGCCAGTGAGACCTCTCCTCTGTGGATTCAGCAGTCGGAGACTCCAGCTAGCGCTGAGAGCATAGGCCCTGTCTGCCTTGCCTCTAGCAGTGTCATCCAACTTCTAACAGCTCAGCTAGGACTGAGAGCACACGGCCTGCCCTACACCACACAAGCCCAATAAGTACCTTAAAAACCGTGGCCTTTATGGGGAGCCCGTCCTTAGCTTTGCTTCTTTGGCATGTACACATTTAAGATCTGTACTTGGAAAGCTTCACTGGGTCCCATTCTATGGCAGTCCCATAACTAGTGCTTCCCCATGTGCCATTTGCATTCTGTTGTAAAACTTGTTTTTATGTATGCGTATGTGCATGCATCTATGTGTGGGTGTGTGCCGTGCGTGAGGAGGCCCCAGGTGTTGGTACTCCTTGAAGCTGGTCTTACAGGCCATTGCAGGATGCCTGGCTGGAGGGTTGGAACTGAACCCCCATCCTCTGTTAGAGCAGTGTGCTCTCTTAATCAGTGAGAGACCTCTCCAGCCCCCATGTACATCTTAGTTCCAAGTTTCCATCCCACTTTTAAGGAACGTAAATGACAAAATTCCTAAAAGTGTTTAAACACCTGTAACTGTAATGTTTAGTCCTAAACTAGGGATACCAAATGAGTAAAAATATAATAATAATTGGAATATATAGCGTACCTAAGAAAAGGCTAACATACAGCACAGTTATTAACATTCAGAATATCTTTTTATGGTCAAATATCATACCTGGTTAAAAAAAAAATAGTAATGTGTGCCGGGGACGGCTCAGAGGATGAAGGCCTGACACAACCTGGCATCCAAGTTGGATCCCTGGAATCCTAAAGTTGTCCTCTGATCTGCTCTTTGTCTCTGCCTCCATCTCTAGAGAGTCTCTGTCTGTCTGTCTGTCTGTCTGTCTGTCTATACTCACACACACACACACACACACACACACACACACACACACACGCTAACATATATCAAAGACTTTTGAACAAAGTGCCAGTAAGAATGGCACCATGGAAGGAACCGAGTGTATGCATTTATACATTAAGAATTAGAAAAGATCCATCTGGGAGGGGTGGCGTGAGGGTGTTAAGGGCGGTATCTGTTATTTTTGTCATTTCTAATTTTCCCACTATGAGCATGCATTACTCTTCTGAGTAGAAAGAGGATGCAGGAAATTCTCAGTTATCCAAAGCCGAGCTGCTAAGGGGGCAAAAAACCTGTGTGGAGAGTGCACTGGCCTTGGGCTTTGTGGGGTTGACCTGTGTGCAGCCCTCTGCCCTCATCCCACCCAAGTTAAAGGGCAGCAATCTGAGAGGGAAGGAGGATCAACGGGGGTAGGGTGGGGGTGGGACTCCCTTTTGAGGTGCCATTCACCTTGGATCCCAGGGTAGGGAGCAGCAAGGCCATGTCGGCAGTGTCAAAGACCAAAGAGATAACCAACATGCTCCCCTGCCACTCTTTAGATCCTGTGATAGGTATCCAGGCTCCGTGTCATCCCTTCCGCCACCCCGCTTTGGGACTCAGTTTCCTCCCACCACAATGGTCGAGATTCTAAGCGTTCCCCTGTCACAGCCAAATACCCACCTATAAGACGTGGTCGCTACAGCAGCTGCGTCCGCGTCCCCGACGGGTAGTACGTAGACCGCCCGGGCGGGGGTCGCCGAAGACTGGCCCCTGCGGCCGCCCGACCCGGGCACGCGCTCATCCCGGGTCCCCGCGCGCGCGGTCCGCACGCCGAAGTCGCGCTGGTACTGGGTGAGCGGCACGGCGCGACTGGGCTCCCGCGCGCCTGCGACAGACGGGCTCCCACGCGAGGCTGTGCAGTCCGCGGCCGGCCCCTCGCTCCCGGGGTCCGAGTAGCCGTGCAGAGTCAGCGGCACCGCTACGTCCGAGCGGTCCAGCTGGTTCCAGCGCCGGGCCAGGCAGCACAGACGACTGATGCAGGGCCACGCCATGCCGCTCGGCCACGCGCCCGCGCTGCGCGCGCCCGCCCGCCCGCTGCCCCCGCGCAACCGGGCGCACCGCAAGGAAAGGACGGCCTCCGGGCAGCCTTAAACTGCCTGCGGCCTTGGGTGGTTGAACCCTAACATTCCCCGAATGTGACCTCATAAATCAGACCTGGGTTTTGCAGAGGGAGGCAGTTCCTCGCTGTCACGCTGCCTGCAGCTGGGCGCAGGTGGCAGGTGCAGCGGACTCTGCTGGGGTTGCGGAACAGAGCTAACCTGTGCCAGGGGACGCCGCAATCACCTAGGGTGGAAGTTGGGGGGCAACGGGTAGGGTGTTGTAGGGAAGACTTGGGCCATGTTTCCAGAAAAACACATTTGAGTCAGCCCGTTAATCACCCTTTGCCATTTACTGTTCTGGTTTAAGTGTGTGACAACCAATCCAGATTTCGTTAAGAGCTGCCATTAGCTTCCAATCGGCCTCTCCCTGGGTTCTAAAACTCCCAAAGTCCTTTCCCTGCTGTGCATTCGTGCTGTATTCCGGGCTGAAGGATCAGTTTAGCAGAGACAACACCCAGCTGCCCTGGAAAAGCTTTTTCAGTGGTCCGATCTGCAGTCAACCATACAAGCTGGGTTAGTTACACGGAAGTTCTGGCAGAACTTGTAAGGTCTCAGAGGACCGCCACGCCCCGGTCAGTTGGTCAGCTCATCTCCCTAAGTTCATTACCTAGAAGTTTTTACCGGAGTGGCATACCACTGCCAGTTTAACAGCTCAAGCCTGACTGTGGCCTCATATTGACCAAAGTTAAGCCTGGAGCTCGGAAAGCCTTTTGCCAAAGGTGAATTCATGGGGACCCTGAAAGTATCTATCTCTCCTCAACCAGAGCAAACTTTGTGGACTGAGAGCTGGGCCCTGGGTTAGTCTGCTCGGCAGAAGAAGGTTAGTAGTTATGAAATAATCCTCGTGAGAAAGCTGCAGATCACCGCTCTTACCAAGCCAATGAAGGGTATACAGTGAGTCCTTTGATTAGCAGGCTAATTGAGACTCAGAAAGCCTCAGAGACTCTTGGTACAGAAGCAGGGCAGGGTAGGGGTTTTTGTTTTTGTTGTTTGTTTTTTTGTATTTAGGCAGGGTTTCTGGCTGTCCTGGAACTTGCTGACCAGGCTGACCTCAAATTCATAGAGATCCATCCCTGCCTCTGCTCCCGCTGGGGTTAAAGGCGTGCACCACCACCACCTTAGGGCTAGGGTAGGGTTTTTTAAGTCAAAAGGAAGAATCACAAAACACCAGGGGCGGGTGAGCATGAGGTGGGTTTTTTGGGGGGGGAGGAGTTTGTTTTGTTTGTTCGGGCTTTTTTTGTTTTGTTTTGTTTTGTTTTTACAATATGCTGTTTCACAGCAGGAAAGGAATTGCCCTTTAATCATATAAGTTCATTTTTCTAGAGGATTGTATATATCCACGATACTTTCCCATCAGGGAAAAGGGAATCCTTTTTCTTTTTCTCTTTCTTTCTTCCTTTCTTTCACTCTTCTTCCTTCCTTCCCTCCTTCCTTCCCTTCCTTCCTCTGTCCCTCCCTCCCTCCTTTCTTTCTTTCCTTCTTTCAGAAGACAAAATATTGTTTACAATCTGGGTGAGAGTCTGGGGGGAGAAGGTGTAGTGCTGGGGCGCCTGACGTCTAGGCCGTTTCATGGCCAGTGAGATGACGCAGTGGGTAAAGGCACTTCCCACCAAGCCCAGAGTTCAAGCTTGAAGATCCACATTATGGAAGCAGTACTGACTTCCCCACATTGTCCTGTGACCTCTGGGTGAATTATGGCGCATGCCCCTACACACAAAGGCATGATAAACAAGCAAATACAATGAAACATTTTAAATATGTGTTTATTTTATGTGCATGACTACATGTATATATGCAGACCATGTGCAGAGGCCAGAAGAGGGAGTCTGATCCCCCAGACTGGACCTATAGATGGTTATGAGCTACCATGTGGATGATGGGAACTAATCAGGTCTTCTGCCATGGCAACAAGTGCTCTTAACTACAGAGCCATCTTTCCAGCCCTGTAAAACATTTTAAATTAAAATTTTAAAGTAAATAGTTTTACAGAAAAGATAAGGCTGGGAATTAGGCGTGCCTGTCTATAATCAGCCCGTGAAAGGTGGAGACAGGGATCAGAAGCAAGTTCGAGGCCCATCTCGGCTGCATAAGACCCTGTCAAAACACACACACACACACACACACACACACACACACACACACACATCTTTTAAATTACGGTTTCGGTGTTAGAGATTGAACCCAGGACTTCGTGCATCCCCGAGCTACCCGAGCTACCTCCACAGACCCCTTTACTTGTTCGTTCATCAAACTTACTTCTTGCTAGGGTTGAGTGCCCTCAAGATGTTGTGTGCTGGATGAGAGGAATGTTAGCCCAGGTGGTATAAACGGGGAGAACTGAGGTTAGGCTCACCTGTCCAAGAGAAGAAGGCTAGTCCTGGGGAGGAGTCAGAGAAGGGTGGAGGGGTAGCGGAGCAGGGCTGGCCTGGACAGACATACAAGGAGTTTTTCCTAGGTGACAGTAGGGGATGACTTGCATTTCTGGCACTCTGTCAGTCACGTGGAGCAGAATGACATTTTCAGTGCCAGCTGGAGAAATAGTCTGGGACTGGAGAGAGTGGGGACTGCACTAGAGCCTTGGTACAGGAGTGGAGAGGAAGGGCTAGCTTCTAGGATTAAGAAGCAAGGCAGGGAAATCTGGAATGGCAAGATGACACTTGGATGATAGAGGCACTTGCCGCCAAGCCTAATAGCTTGAATTTGAGCCCCAGGCCAACTCTTAAAAATTCTCTTCTGACCTCCACACATGTGATGTGAATTCCTCCCACCAACAATGAAGTGTATTTTTTATTATTATTATTATTATTAATTATTATTTTGATTTTTCGAGACAGGGTTTCTCTGTAGTTTTGGAGCCTGTCCTGGAACTAGCTCTTGTAGACCAGGCTGGTCTCGAACTCACAGAGATCCGCCTGCCTCTGCCTCTCGAGTGCTGGGATTAAAGGCGTGCGCCACCACCGCCCGGCTTAAAGTGTAACTCATTTTAAAGATGGAAATTTTATTTGTTTTTTGTGTATGAGCATTTTGCCTGCACATGTGTGTACCACTTGTGTTAGTGTCAGAGGAGGCCAAGAGGTTGTCTGGAACTGGAGTTACAGACAACTGTGAGCCACCAGGTGGGTGCTGGGAACCAAACCAGGTCCTCAGGAAGAGCACTCAGTGCTTTTAAACACCGAGCCATCTCTTCAGCCCCCAAAGATGGAAAACTTGAATAGATCTGAGGCCTCTGCTTCAGGAGACCTCACTTCTTTGGCCAGCAGTACTGAGGTGCACCACAGTGGGGGCCACTGTAACTGTCAATGTGCCTCAACAAACATTGACGAGATGAAGGCACAGAATGTCTGAAGCTCAGAAGACCCACACCACAACAGAAGCCACAGAGGTTCCTGTCAGAGAATGAGCGTAAGGGAGGAGAGACAGCAGCCATGGAACCCTTCTCTTCAGGGACAGCATAGCCAGTGGCACCCAGGGAGAAAATGGCCTTGGAGGCAGAGATCAAACCTCAGCAGAGAGACCAAGCTAGGGCTGCAGAATGCCCTCAGTGTATGGTTAGGAAAGAAGCCATGGCTGGCCTCACATAGGCTTGTGTGGGCAGCATGAGACGCTAGCATCCAGGATACCTGTGGCAAACATGGCCTTCCCCAATGCTTTAGCACTGAACTTGAAAAGATCCCATCCTGACCATCCCAGAACTTTATGTAAGAACATTAAATATGTTTACAGTGCGGTTTACTCAGTGTGCGCCATCTGGGAAGCAGGGCAAAAATCTGCCTTCAAAGTTTAGTCTTGTTCCTTTGGTCTTGTGTTCCTCCATTATCAAAGCCTGCCCCACCACTGTGTGTATGTGTGTGCAGTAGGGGGAAGTGGTCACACCACCAAGTCTTGTATTCCTTCTCAGTGCCAGTTGGAGAATATCTAGGTTAATGTTAACTCAGAGCAAATAGCAGTGTGTATGTGTTAAGGTTCTTCCACACTGAGCTCTTAGGACCCACCTGCCTTCTGACTCTTGACCAATGCTGAGGTTACAGATGTGCATAGCCATGTCCACCACATGGGTGCTGGGTATTAAACTCCCTGCCTCATGCCTTTAGAGCTTGCACGCTTACTCACTGAATCGTCTCCTCAATCCCAAGTGTGGTCTTATAAAGTACTCCTGTTCCTCTCTACAAAAGTCAGTAAAATCCACTCTTACAGAATATGGAGCCAGGCTTAGGGAGTGTCAGTCCCAATGACCTAAGTCAGATCCCTGAGACCCACATGCTAGAAAGAGAGAACTGAGTCTCACAAGCTGTCTTCTGACATCCGTAAGTGTGCCGTAGTATGCGTGCCTGCTCTCCAATGATAAAGAATGCTAAGACATCCAAACCCTAATAATACAGAATATACAGTGCCCCTATCATTCCCACTGTTATTAGTCCATCGGAGCTGCTGCCTAGTCACATAGGATTAACATCTTGCCCCTGAGCGTCCAGACAATTGTTCAGCTCCTTAAACGCAAAGGGTATCTTGGGTACAGAGCTGTGAAATGAGAGCACAGCATATAGAACGACAGATAGTTGTGCCAGGGATGGGGAGGTTGGGATGGTTTCCCCAAGGCCAGCAATACTTGGGGTCCAGGAGGTAATAAAGAACAGGTCAGTACCAAAGGAGCCTCCTTCTTCATTATGCCTCAGACAATCTCATGAACTGTTTTGTTTTTGTTTTTTATTTTATTTTTTCCAACTGAGCCTTGTCTGACAAGTTAAAACAGCACATCTCTTCAAATTTTTCCACCCGCAGTTACATATCAGTAAAACTAACATGTGCTATTTTCCAGTAATGCTCCCCTGTCTTGTCGTAGTTCCTGTCCAGAAACCTATCCACAGGAGCCTGGGATAGTGCATTTAAAGCTTTAACCGAGCAGAAAAGGCCATGAAATAAGATCTTGTATTGTATCCCTGCTTGGCCTCAGACTCATAGAGATCGGCCTGTCTTGGCTTCCCAACTCCTGCGGTTCCAAGCC